ATCGTAGAAGGCATTCATCAGGCACGAAGAATAATTATCAGGCACATCCCATGTGAGGTGAAATGAAGCTGGAAAACAAAACATTCATATGAAGAAGGACATTTCATATTGAGACATATTTTTGGGCAACCCCAGATTGTTTCGCTGTAGTGGAAACTGCCACCTGCGAGGGGAGGATAGAAGTATGGGCTTCCTGTGAGGCCAGACACGCTCTTGCACCAGATCCTCCATTCAACTGACACCCAGCAAGCCTGGACATTCCCAAGAAAGGCTTCACTATTACTCCTGAATTCATGGGCAAGAAATCTTCTCCCCTCTCATCGTAGAAGGCATTCATCAGGCACAAAGAATAATTATCAGGGTTTAAATTGAAAGTGGGGAGGTTTAGATTGAATATCAGGAAGAAGTTCTTCCCAGAGAGGGTGGGGAGGCACTGGGACAGGTTGCCCAGAGAAGCTGTGGATGCCCCATCCCTGGAAGTGTCCAAGGCCAGGCTGGATGAGGCTTGGAGCAACCTGGTCTAGTGGAAGATGTCCCTGCCCATGGCAGGGGGGGTGGAACTGGATGATCTTTAAGGTCCCTTCCAACCCAAACCGTTCCATGATTCTATGAAATGAAGGAGGATGCACTTGCCTGTGTGCCAGGGTAGGTCTGTTCATGTTCAGCCCAGGGCAAGTCCATCCTCCCACCATGGAGGAGCCTGAAGGGCACAGATCAGAGATGCCATTAGGGCTTTCACCTTTCAGGCCTACCCAGTCTCCAGGAGTAATGCTCCCAGCAGCTGGTAGTCATGTCTCAGCTTTGTTCCTGCTGTGCACAAGCCCACACAATGCAGCAGAAGCCAAATCAGCTCTGTGGCCTGCAGTAGCTGAGGGGCTTGTTGAAGGACCCAGTGATGGAGCACTTCAAAGCCCCCTGTGAACAGTGTCACAAGTCTGCAGGGACAGGCAGCATGAGGGATGCCCCTATGGCCAGGGCTCTGAAGAGTGGTTAGATGTTCATGTCCCTAAAGAAGGCTGGTGGGAAGGTGAAGTTTCAGACCCTGCTTTGTGTGCTGGAGAAGGAGCACCGTGCTCCTCGAGCCAGGGACAATGCAGTTGCATGTTTCTATGGCCCTTGGGCACCATCACCTCATGATGTCCTTCATGTTTCCCAGAGTCACATATGATGTTGGTGAGGTGCTAAAGGAAGTGGGGAACAGACCAGATCACCTTGTTCCCTCCAAATACCCACTCAAAACAGTCTGCAGGTGAAATCAAGGCTGGGGCAATAACCTCATGAGAGATTGACCCTTGAGGTGTGAGAACAGGCTCTGGAGCCGGGGAGAAAGCTGATGGGCTGGACAAGAAGGTGAACCTAGGACAGAAATGAGAATGGACTGCAAATGTGGGGCTAAAGCAGCATCACTGGTAGGTTACCTGCTGTAACCCTCATCTCCCTTCACCTGAGGAAAGCAGGTTCAGCAAGGAAACACCATCCCTGTTCCTTTGTTCTCCCCACCTAGATGTCAGCACCCCATGATTTCTCCTGGCCTCCTTCTCCCTGCTCGTCACTATCCATGGGAAGGGTGTGCCTGCAGATGACGCCTGGCCTGTGCACCCCTTCCCCCAGCACAGCATGTCCCTTCCCCTTCGGCAAGGCTGCCACTGTCTCTGCGACTGGTTGGGTCTTTGCAGTGCCTTCCTTCTCCTTCAGGGAGTGAAGCAGGTGGGTGAAGGACCCTCCGAAGGTTCAAGGTGTCCTGGTGCATTCATCCACCTGGAAAAGGGAGACAGAGAGGCAAAAGCAATGATAACGGTTGTGGGTTGGGAATGTGGGGCCGTGGCATGGAAGACCAACTGGTGGTGGTATGGAGGATGCGGTAGGTCCAGGGTAAAGGTTAGAGTAGTGCTATGGAGGAAAGGAAACCACAGGCAGGCTTAATCCCTAGGATCCTATGAGAAGGTGTGGGTTACATTTGCTCTCCCCCTTCCTATCCCCTGGTGCAGAGCAACAAAACAGCTGCTCCAAGTTCTGCTTCCAGAAGTTCTGCTTCTGCCTTCTGCTGCTGTCTCCAGCCCTCTTACTGCAAACTGAACACAAATGCCCCTGCAGCCAGTGGACGAGGGGTGAGGGAGAGGCTGCAAGAGGACATGGGAGGGACAGCTGACCCCAGTGGACCCGAGGGATGTTCCATACCATGTAGCGTCATGCTCAGCAGTAAGACTGGGGAAGTTTTTCCATTGCTTGAGGACTAGCTGGGCATCGAGCTGCTACTGAAAGGTGGTGGGTGAATGCTTTTGCATCACTTTTGTTCCTCTCTTTCCTTCACTCATTAAACTGGCTTTATCTTGACCCAAAAAGTCTTTTTGCTCACTTTTGGTTTTCCAGTTCTCTCTCCCTACCTGCCATAGAGGCAGTGGACGAGTGGCTGGTCAGGTTTAACCCACCACAAACCACAAAATGGAAAACCAGTAGAAAAAGAGTATCTCCGCTTATCTGTAGCATCTCCCCCTGCAGCTTTTGGGTGACCCTCCAGCCCTGCAATCCAACATGCCCTGCACTGACCTATGGGCCGGGGAAGTGGCTCCAACTTGGCTGCAGGAACCAACAGTAGGAGGAATTGCAAAACCAAGCTACTTCCCCTTGCCTCTAATCTCCTTGGCTGGTCTGTGCAGCAGCTTCTCCCACAAATGTGAAAGCTGCCTCTCAGCTCTCTCACAAGAGCCATCCTCGTTTGTCCTAGCAAGCCAGAAAGAAAGGATCTCCCTTCTACATCGCCAACAACTAGCTCAGGTAATGTGCAGAAGCAGTTTCTCACTGGTATGCCAACTAGGCTGCGGTCCCACGCTGAGGTGCCTCAAGGGTCGAAGCCCGGAGCGTGGTTTGGGGCAGATGTTTGTGCAAGGGACCCTTTTCCCGGGATGTAAAAAGGTGCAGCTTGAGGGGCAGGGAGGCATGCAAGGGCTCCTCCTCAGTGCAGCCCTCCCTCCTTTACTGCACAGAAGCAAGAAACTACGGAGCAGGTCTCCGAGACTTTTCCAAGGAGATGGTGGAGTGGCAGAGCCGTTAAGGCGAGGGCTGAGCTGAAGGACAGGAAAGGGGTTTGGCTGCTCAGGAAGCCGCAGCTCCATTCCCACAGCTGTGTGTGCTGATAGAGGGCCTGGGCAGCCCCCTGCTAGCACTGCTGCAGAGCAGCACCCGCTCCTCAGGCAGGAGAGAGGCGAAGCGGCAGGAGAGCAACTGCTGGAGGGTCTCTGGGTGGGTCCCAGGGGAGGTGTCCATCAGGGGACAGGCACTTGGGAACACGACTGTGCTCTTTTCACAGGGTTCATGCTCCTACCTTCTGAACCCAAATCAAGCAGAGGACTCAGCTGGCATTGGGTAAGAGCATATTCAAGGATCCTCTTCCAGCACGCAGCTTTTCTGGGCTGGGGTGGGTGTGGGTATGCAGGGACGTGAAGAACACAAAGCCACTGCTTTTGCAGTGGTGAGGGCAGCAATGCTGCTCGGGTGAGGAGTGCATGAATCAGGCTCTCCCTGCCATGGAGGAGGATGAGGTGAGCAAAAGAGCAGAGATGGTGTCTCCTTGCTGACCCTGCTGCCCACCAAGGTTAAGATGGAAGGATGGGTGCTAACAACAGTTGTGGGACTCATCTCTCCCTTCCATCCTCCCAGGGAGGATCTGTGGGGCTCAGAGGACTCCCAGAGGGTCTGGTGGGGGATGTCAGCTCCTTTGTGAATGGTGCTTGCAAGGGAAGAAAGATGATGTGTAGGTATGTGCCTGCCTGTGCCCACACCTCTTGGCTCTCCCCTCTAGGCCATGCGGGTCCTTGCCTTGCTTCCGCTCATCCTCCCAGCCCTGCTGCTCCCTGCCGGTACTATCGACCCAGGCCAGCCCTGCCCATCAGAGATCAACAAAGTCAAGGATCTCCTGGAGGTGAACTGCACGGGGCAGGGTCTCAGTGCGGTGCCCCCAGACCTGCCCGCGGACACGGGCATTCTGCTGCTCAGCACCAACCACCTGACATCCCTCTCCACTGTCACCTTCCTGGCCCTCACCCAGCTGCAAGACCTCGACCTGTCTGATAACACGCTGGTGTCTCTGCACACCGGGTCCCCGCTGCTGTCCCTGAAGGAGCTGATACTCTCCCGAAATGCGCTGGGGGCCCTTCCTGCCCTGCAGGGCCTGCCTAGGCTCACCCGCCTGGCCATAGCCCACAACAGCCTGGAGACACTGGCCCCGGGGGCTTTCCGTGATGTGCCGGGGCTGCAGGACCTGGACCTGCGAGGGAACCTGCTGCGGACTCTGCCCCAGGAGGCTTTTGCGGGACTGAGGACACTCAAGGACTTGGACCTCTCAGACAACCTCCTGACGGAACTCCCTAAGGAGCTGCTGCAGGATCTGCAAATGCTGGAGACCCTCTGGCTCTCGGGGAACCAGCTGCAGACCCTGCCAACTGGTTTCTTCCCTGAGGGACACCTTTTCATGTATGTCTTCCTCACTGAGAACCCCTGGCACTGTGACTGCAACCTGTACTACCTGCGGACCTGGATCAAGCGGAATGATGGCAGTGTCTATCAGCCAGAGCGGGGCCTGGAGAAGACAAAAGTGGAGGTGGCCCCTGAGAAGGTGGTGTGCCACAGCCCCCCTGAGCATTTGCAGAAGCCCATTATCCACTTCAAGCCCAACTGCGGCAATGTGGGGGACATGGATAAGGAGGAAGATGATGAATATTATGATGGGGAGGAAATGGAGAAAACTGCCATGACCACATTCTTCCACACACATCCATCCATCCCCACGGAGCACACTACCACGTCCCATGCTGTTACCTGGCCTCCCCTTGCTACCACAAGACCTCCCCTCAGCATCCCTTCCACCCTCACCCCAGGCACTTCGTTTGCAATGCCTGCAAGCCCCAGAGCTTCCAAAACCACCACTCCTGCATCAGCCAGTCCCACCGTCACACCCACCCAGACCCCCAGCACTGCTGTCATTCTCACTGCTGTTCCTGCCAGCACCCTGCACAGATCCACCACCCTCGTCTCCACCGCCTCACTGTCAACCACTGTGGGTGCCAGACCTCCCAGCACCAGCAGCTCTCCCCTTGCCAACAGCACTACCAACACCTATGCCACTCTCATGGTCTCCACTGGTGCTTTTTTCACCACCTCCTCAGCAGTGCCTTTTACTGCCACGCGACAGGCCTCTTCTATTGTCAGACCTTCATCTCCTCCTCTGACACCGACCCCACTGATGGTCTCCACCACCACGCTTCCCACTCATGCCCCAACGCCACCATCTCCCCTGGACACCACACGCTTCGCCCAGCCTGCTCCTCGCCCCCTCTGCCCATGCTCCACCCCAGGACTGCCCATACCAGTGCTGCGCTCCTGGGCAGGTGGGGAGGGTCCGCAGTGGGTGCTGAGGCATTGCTGCCTACTGCACTGGGTGCTCTACCTGGCCTCCATGGCTCTGCTGCTCCTGACCGTGCTGGCTCTAGCAGGCTGGCTGGCGTGGATCTGTCTGGTGGGATGGCCCTCCTGGCGCAAGTCCCTGCAGAAGCAAGAGGTCTATCCGCTGCTGAGGTGTAGGCAGTCACCAGGAAGCCCTGGGATGCATCTCAGCAGCTTCAGAAACCCCCTCCAGCGCTCCACATTCTGTACCATCAAGGAAGTAGAGTTGTGCCCTGAGGTTACCTACTGCACAATTAAAGACCTGGGGATACAACACAGTCCTCCTGCAAGTTCCTCCTTCTGCACCACAAAGGAGCTGTGGGTCCACCACAATCCTTCCTTCAAGTCTTCCCCCAGGAAGCTGATGGTCACAAACCTCAGCTCCCTGAGGACGCCTTCTGCTTACAGCCTGGACAGGGGTACCAAGGCCATTGGCAATGTCAGAGTGAAATATGCTGGCAACACCTTGTAAATGCTTCTGTGTGTTCAGAGAAAGAGATGGAGGGTCATGGCTCTGTTTCACATACCCTTTGTCTAAAAGGGGAAAGATCTGCTTGCCCAGGGAGAGCCATCCAGCTCCTTCCCCTAGTATTACTCTCACACACCTTGCGATTTCTAGATCTGAAATAATTACTTGAGCACTTGGCAGGGGGAGATGTCCTAAAATGGTCAGTGATAGTTTGGGGCTGACACTGCCTGGTTTTGGGGTGAGTGTGGGAAAGCAGACCTTAGTTCATAGTTTCCCAACTGCTTCTGTTCGAATTATGCTCTTTGCTTTCAATTCAGTGCCAGGTTGTTAATCACAGAATAAATAATCTCTTTGCCTGAATTTCAAATGGGTGCTGGTTTCATTTAATTGGATGTTCCCATAGTCCTGGCAGGGTACAGTGACTGACAAAATTGTCTTCAGTACTTGGAACAGTGAAGATGATAGAGAGGAAAAGTCCGCTTATACCCAGCTTCTTGACTTTGGCCCCAAATGTACGATCCTTCACTGTGGGATTGAATCACGTGGGAAAAGCATCCCACTGCATGTTGCACTGTCATGTAATAACTCCAGGAAAAGGTAGATGTCAATACCTGTGCATGACCCATTATGGGATGGCTGGAAATGAGAGAGGAGGATGGGAGGCTTTGGAGGGTGATGGATATGACTTGTAAAGAACAAAATGTCCAGGCTCTGGCCAAACTTTGTGACCACCTATGCCAAACACCCAAACATTTTGACATGTGTGAGAAGGAGAAGGAGGGTGCCACTGGCACACAAACGGGGTGCCTAGATCATAGGAATCACTCTTGTAGTTTCAAACACTGAAACAGTTCTAACTGCCCCAAACGTATCACCCAGCTGTTGTGGGCCAGCAGGCCCTCTGCCAGATTAATTTATTGCTCCACAAAAGGGTATGTGTGTCTGTGCTTGGCTGGCTGGGGTGACCATCCTTCTATGCAAGTCTGTGTGCTGGTGCATCTTCTGGGCATGCAAGCACTGCATTCGTGTTTGCGTGTTGGTGCTGTCCTCTGATGCTCCCATATTCTTTCCCTCTTCCCTGGGACAACAGAAACAGTCTCAGCAACACCAGATTTGACCCAGAATCCCTCTGTACACCTCTAGAGATGACTACAACAATCCAAGACACATGGATGGCCTTGGGGAGACCCCAGTGACACCAGAGACCCCTATTACTTCAGTTTGAACTGTTTCTTTACATTGTTTGGGGTTTTTTTTTTCCCTTTATCAGGTATTTTTACTACATCTTGGGACATTTTTCAGCCCCTTCTGGTCTTGTATAGCAATGCTGCTTAGGCTTTGTGGTGGGGGAGCATGCATCAGCTCTCACCTCTCCAGGATCTTTGACTTCCTTTTTACACCTCTCCCACAGTATCATGGCACCCAGGTTAGGCCACCAAGGTCTGAAAGGCTGGAGAATGAGGTAAAAAGTGGTGTGAATGTCAGGACCAGTGGTTAATGGGTCACACTCCACTTGGACGTTAGCAGCCTGTGGAGGTACCATGCGGAGCTGCTGCAAACTCTGCTGTTCAACATCTTTATTGATGACACGGAGGAGGTTGAGGAGTGTGCTTTTATTGTGCTGGCAGATGACTCCAGGTTGGGAGGGATCAATTCGTATGCTTCCAACAGGACTACCATCCAGGGAGCACCATTCACTCTGGAGAAATGAGTTGACAGAAACCTGATGAAAATCAACAAGAGCAAATGCAAAGTCCTACGCCTTGGAAGGAAGACCACCTCAACGCCGGTGGGGGACAGACTGGCTGGGGAGCAGAGCTACAGAAAAGGGCCTTTGAGTCCTCATCAAGAGAGGTGGCATAATGATTCTGGCAGCAGAGAGAGAGCAAAGGAGCCTGGGCTGGGTTAACAGGAGCATACTAGAGCAAAGGGTTATCCCTCTTGGCACAGTGCTCATTAACCCTCCTCTACACATCCCTGGACCCTCAATTCCCTCCTCAGTGGTAGCACTGGTACCCCAATATCTCCCTATTACCTCTACCTCTCTTTGCAAGTCCTCCCTAGGATTCTCCTCTGTCTCCACACGACAAACACTCCAGGTCACTCCAGGAAGCCAAGACCTCCCAGAATGACCTAGGAACCCCAAAGCCCCCAGGATCCCCTAATGCCCCCATCTACCCCAAAACCCTGGCACCCCAGGACTCTCCTATTCCCTCAGGATGCCCCATGGACCCCAAGATGCTTCTCAATCCCAAGGCACATACAGCTCCTCCCCCATGCCCGATGAATTCAGGCACCAGAATGCCCTCCACTCCCAAGGGACTCAGGAATCCAGGCAATCCTGGGCCCCACCACTACCCACCCAGGACACTCAAGCCATTGGTCTCCTGCTCTCCTGATCCTTGCAAGAAGCATCTGGATGTCTGGGTTCCCGAACAGAAATGACAAGACCCAGTTGGGCAATTCAGGAACCACTTTTATTTAATCCACGTGTGTGTGTGAAACTGGGGGATACCCAGCTGCCAGTGAAGGGCTCAGGGCAGGGGAGTGTAGGGTTGCAATGTGGGGAGTCTTTGTGTCCCACAGTATCCCCAGAGTCTAAGGCATGTACCCTGGGGATGGGGGGTTGCCGGAAACCATTCTGGGGGAGGGATCTGGGGGCGATTTCATCCCATAGACATGTCCATGGATGCTATCTGAGGATCCCAGTATGGGGTCCAGAGCTTTTAAGCCCCCCCCCTAATTATTATTATTGGTGTCAGGTGATCTCGAGGGGTCCTCAAGGCAGTTTGGGCCACGCAAGGCAGAGGGTACTGTGAGGACACAAGCTTGGAGGTCAGTATAGGCATGGGGCAAGGTGCCCCGGGTGATCCAGCGCCGGGTGCCTGGCTGGTAGGCATGGATCAAATGGGTGTCCTGGTAGGTCTCATGGCTGTACCCTCCCAGTATGAGCAGTTCGCCCCCCAGCACAGCTGCGCCCCCAACTACATGGGCATGGGGCAGGGGGCTGAGGAGGACCCAGATGTCCAGCTTGGGGCTGTAGACCTCAAAGGCCAGCTGGTCCCTGTAGCCAGTCTGCCCATCCCGCTGGCACAGCCCCCCGGCCACATAGAGCTGCCCACCTGCCTCCTCCATGATGTGGCCAGCTCGCTGGCCATTCATGGGGGCCAGAAGTGTGGCAGGCGCACCCGGGATGTAGCGCAGCAAGGATGCCTGGCACTGGCATGCCTCATCACACCCTCCTGACACGTAGAGGGCACCATCCAGGGCACACGCTGCATGCCCACACAGAGCCATCGGCAGGGGCTGGCACATCCTGGGCAAGAAGAAAGGGAGGGGATGATGGGCAGGTTAAGCAGGTTTGCTCCATGGTGACTGTCCACCCATGGGTTCACCAGAGAACCAGGGCTGTGTTCATGGCTCAGCAGGCAACGCTGGCCAATGCCCAGCGAGCCCAGAGGGCAGCATCAGCTAACACATAATGGATGCCCAAGGAGCATCACTGTTGAAAACTTGGTAGACCCCAAAAGACACCATTGGTCAACCCACAGTGAACTCCCTCTACGGGCAATATTGGCCAACACCCAACAGAGTACCCAATTAATATAGCTGGAAGATATCTGATTTTGTCTCATTGGCAGATGGCCAACAGACCTTCAGTGAATACTCTTGGCCAAAAACTCATTTGTCACCCTATAGGCAACACTGGCCAACACCAAATGATTTCCAAGTGACATGGTTGCTCAACACCCAGTAGACCTCTCCCAGAGGCCACTGCAGACCCATTCTCCATTGGAAGCTCAGTGACTCAAAGACCACTCAACGGGCACCAATGGCCAATGCAAGGGGCTGCTAGGGCACAGGAAAGCAGGTGTCCACATGCAGCACTCTCACCTCCAGCTGCCTTTGACCGGGTCAAAGCACTCCACAGTGTCTGTGCAGTAGAGCTCCCTCGAGCTGCCCCCCAGGGCGTAGATGAAATCCCCAAGTGCCACAGCGGCAAAGTAGCTCCGCCCACAGGTCATGCTGGCCAGGCACTCCCAGGAATCATCCATAGGCTGGTACCTGGGTTTGAGAGGTGAAGAGGGTGAGAGACTATGTGTTACCATCAGGTGATGTTGGCCACTGAGGGCAACAACCCACCTACCAACAGCCAATCCCATAATGCTTTGGGGCCACACGGTCCCCTTGCATGGGAGTATCTCCTCTTCCTGGGCAATACCAAACCCATAGTGCCCCGAGGCACCTCCAGCTAGGAGCCTTCCTGCCCTACCCCCAAAAAGCCTGTAACATCCTAGAGTGGGAGGGCACCTTCCAGTCCTACACTCAACCAATCCCAGAACACCTTGAGGCCACTTGACCAACTGCAATCCCACAATGCCTTGGCTCCGTGGGGCAGCTCTAGCTCCATCAAACTTCCTGTGATCCCACAATGTCCTGGTGCCACACGGCACCTCTAGGTCCTCTGTAGCTCTCACCTGTAGACACTGGCCAGGGTGTCACGGGCCCCATAGTAGCGCTTTCCACCCAGGACGTAGAGGACGTTGCCCACTACAGCTACAGCATGGCGGAAGCGTGGGCCATCAGGAAAGTGTCCCAGTGCACGCCACTCCACCTGCTTCACCAGCCCCACAGCACTGAGGTAGCGGTGAGCAAACCAGAGGTGTCTGCTGGGCTTCCGGGCAGCCAGGTTGGCCGTCAGTTTGTCTCCACCACAAACCACCAGCACTTCTTGCAAGGAACGTACTCGGCATGGCAGCTGGGCCATGGGGGCCAAACTTGCTATCACAAGCTCGTGGAGGACCTTTGGGTCAGCTACCCCTGCAGTCACTGACGGCACCTTCTTCAGCTCCTGGCCAGACATGAGGGCAAAGCGAACAGATGACAGGACTTCCTTGGCTAGATCCTCTTGGCCATCTCCGTTGGCCATAAGCCAACGGGATGCTGCTTCCAAGGCTTCCAGTTCATGGAGGACATTGAGACCATCAGAGCGGAGGAGGCGGATGAGAAGGTGTGCAGGAAGATCCAGGAAGGCCGGTGTGGCCACCACACTGGGGAAGGTGGCCAAGATGTAGTCCTCTGCTACACGCCCCACCTGGGCCAGCCCATAAGCCACAGCAAAGGCCAGCACGTCTAAGCCAGTCTCTGGGGTCAGGCCACGGGTGAAAACATCCAGGCAGAGGGTGAGGAGCCCCCAGGCCTGGTAGCGCAAAGAGGTCTCGGCTGCCTCCAGGACCATGGCCCACGGCCCTGCCACAGCCCCTGTGTAGGCGAAGGAGAGGAGGAGGCGCAGCTCAGCTGGGGACAGCCCTGTGGCCAGAGGAGCAGTGGGGTCGTGGGTGGCCTCCCGCATGGGGCAAGTGAAGAGGGCCCGGAAGAAGTCACAGGAGCAGCTCAGGGCCAGGCGTTGAACTACGGGAAAGGAGGAAGAATGGTGGGGGCAATGGGGGACCCTTTGCACTGTGCAGCCCCCTGGGAACTCAAATGTCCTGGCCCCCCCTCCAGAACACCAGCTCTCCCAAAGGTACCAGCCCCATGGGCACCTCTAGGTCCTCATCCCTCCCTGAAGCATCAACCCCAGCATCCCTGCCGGGGAGCCGGCTCATGGGGACCCCCATCCCAGCTCACCTGGGATGACCTCGTCCCCTGCCCGAAGCTGGAGGTCGCAGCCCAGGCCACTGGCGTGGAGTTGCTCCATGGCTCTTAGTGTCTCCCACTGCTCCTCCAAGGGCACGGTACTCCCATCCTGGGGGTCACTCTCCAGGTGCGTGGCACAGGCAGCCACCACCCGGGGAGCCCCCAGGGCCCAGGCAGTCTCCTCCACCTCTTTCTCCCAGCCGTGGGGCACAGTTCCCCCATAGGCGAAGGCCAGCACAGCCCGCCAGCCCCGTAGCGTGGCCCCAGGTGGCAGGGGGACATGGGGCAGGGGGCCCTGACGCAGCTCTCTGGTCCTGCCCTCCAGGAATTGGAGGAAGAAGGAGCTGATGGAGGCCAGGACCACAGCATGGGCCACGTCGCTGTCTGGGCCCACGGCTACATCCCCCAGCTGGCCTGTGGTGCGGAGGGGGTCAGCCGTGGCCAAGAAGTGTCCGGCATGGGCCCCATCCCGCAGGTGCCACTGGGCTGGAGCCGGCCCCTCTGCAACCCACATCTTGCCTGTGGGAACACATAGATCAGGGGGTCAGTCAGGGTGCCATCCCCATAAGTCTCTGACCCATGGCAGGAATCCTGGCTGGGGACACAGGGTCCTGCTAGTGGCACTGCCCCATAGTGAAAGCCACTGGATCCATCACCAAAGTCTCTACCCTATAGCTGAGGCCACCAGGAACTGCCACTGCCCCATAGCTGAATTTAATGCCCCTTGGCAAAACTGCAGCCCCATAGGTGAGACCAACAGGCCATGTCACTGCCCCATAGCTGAGGCTGATGTCCCTCATCTGCCTCATTGCTGAACCCTCAGAACGAAGCTACGGACCCACAGCCAACTCTGCTGCCTCAGCTGGAAGCCACAGCTGCACAGAGTAGCCCACTGTCCCCAGTCAAACACTCTGCCCTATAGCAGAAGCCCCCAGGCCCTCCCCCAACCATTAACCCCCAGCTGAAACTACTGGTGCTCCAACAGCAGCGAAGTCACTGGTTGCTGGAACAGCCTGCCCAGCAGAGCCTACGCGTTCAGTGCGTGGCAGTCGCGTGTCGCGCAGCCTGTCACGAGCTGCCCTGCCTGTCGCATGTCGCAATGCACTGCATTGTGTTGCGTGTCACACGGCATGTCATGCACCCTCTTGCACCGCTTACTGTCGGGGTGTGCCAATCCTGGCGCGCGGCACACTGTGACACCCCACGCTGCGCACTGTTGCCCCCCACGCCACCCCGTGACGAGCGGCACCTCACGTGTTGCTCGCCGTGTTTGCACGGTGTCGCATGTCCTTGCGTTTTGCAGCCCGGCGTGGCGCGTGCTGTGTGCCGCGTCCTGCATTGCCGCACGGCATGCCGCGCTGCGCCACGCACTCGTCCCCCCTTACCGCCTGCCACTGCTCTGGGAAGCTCCTGTGACCCCCCAGGAATGTGTCCGGGTAATTATAGCCCGGATGGGACACGTGGCTGTGGCCGGGAGCTGGGACAGGCCCAGGCAGAGGGAGGTCCAAGGCCCCGGAGCCTGGGGACAGGGCAACAGAGACACCCGGGTTCCCTGAGGACAGGCAGAGGGGCGGGTGGAAGCTGCCGTGAGTTTTTTCCTCCCTCTCCAGCAGCAGAAGGTGCAGGCAGGGCTGTAAACCCCAGGCTACCATAGCAGGTCCTGCTGGGAGGTCTCTGGTCCATCAGCCACCCCCAAATCTAGAGCCCATGGGGAAGCAAGGCCCCCTCAAAAGTCTTTGGGAGGGAGAGAAACAACTCCCTGCTCCTTCAGCCCCACGGAGTGACACACACCCCTCCCCCCGCCACCTATTGTGCTGCTGAACTGGAGCCCAGCCCCACTGACCCCCACGCTGATGGTTGTCACCCAGCCCTGGTGCCAGGGAGCACATGGGGACACTGGCCCCTTGGCCTAACCCCAAGCACCCCCAAGACCATCCTGCAACCCCCAGGACTCCCACCTGCCTACAGAGAACACAGCAGGGAGCAGCAGAGCCTGCCATGGCTGTGACCGTGTATCCCCATGTCACCCTGTCCCTCCTCTGCTGTCCTTGGGTCTCCAGTCTCCTTGTTTCCTGTCACACCTCCCTGCGTTCCCCTACCCGATATCCCTGCTTCCCCTATTGCCTATATTCCTTCTATCACAAACTTGCATCCCTGTCCTCAAATGTCCTGTCCCTGTACCTTCATATTCCCACATCTGGTTGAATTCTGTGTCCCCAAAGACGACAATTTCACAGAATTTGCAGCAGAGAGGAACGAGATGTGAAACACCTCTGCAGACCCCCAGGTCAGCGAGGAGGGGAGGTGCTCCAGGCGCTGGAGCCAAGACTCCTGGGCAGCCCATGGGACAGCCCATGGTGAGGCCGGCTGTGCCCTGCAGCCATGGAGGGTCCCGGTGGAGCAGACACCCACCTGCAACCCGGGGAGGACCCCATGCTGGAGCAGCAGTATGCCCAAAGGTGGTTGTGAACCAATGGGAAGCCCATGCTGAAGCAGGATCCTGGCAGAACCTGTGTCCCTGCGAAAGAACCA